ACGAAAAAAAATGCCAATTTCGAGAATAGTCTTCCCCTGATGCTGCGAAAACGTTTTCTTGGAAAATATATCGTTCGAACATTTATAATTAACTCGAAGTGTGGATTCTCCCTCTTTTTCAAAAAATTAAGAGACGAAAATGCTGCATATTGCATGGACTTCGAGGTTAGAAATCGTTTTCTACTTTCTGTATATGCCACTGTACACTTCTGCGACGAAAAAAAAAACTTCAAGGAGCATTTTACAGGAAGAAGGTCCACAAGTATTTTCGTCGTTCTCTTGAGAGACTTTGACTATGACAACGGCTTTGCTTCCGGAAATACCTCCTGGAAACAGAGGGGTCTGCCCGAAATCACAAATGGTCTATTCACTATTGAATTGGGGGCTATAAAATTGCTCACACTTCCTACATTAGCCGCTACAGAGGTTACAAGAACAACGTCCCCTCCCCCAACTGCTTCTGGGAAACAGTCAAAACAGTAGCAATGAGTTAATAGGGGTTTATGACTTCCACTCCTGCTTCAGAAAGAACTACGAGAGGATAAAAATGAAGATCTTCAGGAACGGTACTCCGGTTTAAAAATTCCGCACCGTAAAAAATTCCACAAGTCCTTGAATTCTGGATTCTCTGACGTTCGTCACTTGGAACTTCGAGGTTCTTGTATAAAATTACTGCGCTCCTATAATTCCTGATGGGAACTTTTTCCTTCTTTAATTACGAATCATCCATCATGCGGATGCAGATTTCAGGAACAATGGGAATTTTGAATCGTAGGGACACATTAACCCCTGATGATCATTTGTAACTCTCTCGAACACTTCGAAATCTTCACACCCCTAATGTAACAAAAAATTAGGCCTAGCTAGAATAAGAGGACTGGGATTCTCAATCCAATAATTTCGGGCCGTTCGCATTTTTTTGCCATTATCACCCATTAATTGTCAATCAATACATCATCAACTTCCCTACGAAGGCGGAACGAACGATCTAGATTTCCATTCTACCCACTGTAAATCTTTCCACGTAAGTGCTGACAGCGATTGCCAGAAAAGGGTCCCAGGCTTGACGGCGGGGAAACATCTTGACGTAACCTCTGCCCGTCCGGCGCGCGAAGGAAGCTTGTCCGCGGAAGAGCGGCAACTTACATCCTCTCGAAAATTTATTTTTCCAACGTTCAACTCTCCGAACTATTTTCATGTTTCACGTGACATCCGACTCTACGAAAGGGTTTACACAAAAGTCTGCTCATTAAACTCAATCGGTAAAATACTATCAGCTAAATTCAAAATCGAAGAGAATCGTCATGCTGTTATACCTATCGTGATCTCGCACTTGATGAACAAAATGACCCATTTAAACCTCAATCATCAATATCAAGCAATAGGCGAAAAAAAATCGTTCGGAAAAGCATCAACAAACCTGCGCAACGAGAATAACCAAGGACAAATCGATTTGAAGTCGCGGACCAAAAATCAACACCTTACACAGAAGTGTTGACAATACTTCTTCACTTGCTTGAGAGCACACGCGTTTTTGAAGAATAGTGGACGACTTCAGAGGCGACAAATTCAGCACTTCGACTGACACATGCCGCACGCACGCTCACTATATATAGGCAGTAGCTCCTGATGAACCTCAGCCATCTTTACGCACTCTTCTCTTCCATGTTCCTTGCCTCTCATTGGCCGAGACATTTAAAGTCGAAGATTCAATGTCCTAAGCCCGCCCTCTGCCAGGGAACCAAGAGGGGGGGGGGGGAGAATTCAATCAACCAACTGGAAAATTGTGCACCCAAATGTTTCTACTCCATTGGTTAAGGAACGAAATTTCTCATCTCCAGCAGATTTTACTACAGCATTAGATAGCCCAGTACCATACCCTCTCATCAGGATCCAATTTTCGGAGTAAATCGTGTATTCTTTACTGGGCTTCCCCTATACAGTATTTTCCAATCTGATGATGTGGGCATGTATTATATATAGGCAATATACATGAAGGCGTTAGCGTATACTGTAATGTCTGCTGTGCAGTTGCATGCACTTTTCCATCTTAAATTCAAGATCAACACGAATGCAGAAATTAATGTACGGACGTTGTAAAGAGAAATCATCACTATAGCTGAAGCCAGATTTAATGTCGCGTTTCTATATAGGAGCTAAAAAGCAGCTGCGTTCGATTTCAGTTAGCTTGGCGTCAAATTTTGGGGAAAAATTTATCCCAACTTCAAACAAAACTGAAAAAAATATCTTTAAGGTCAAAAATTGAAAATTAATTTGCTCATAACATAAATTAAAATGTAACCGCTATTCAATCTTACAGTACGGACTGTATTTTTCTATAATATTTATAGATATACTACTGTACAATAATAATTTCAGCACTACTATACAGCACATCATGCAACTAAGTTACGCGGAAAATTTTGAGAAACATTTATGCAACCCGCCAGTCTGAATTAAATTGAGAACTGCAAAAGTTGAGGTTGGAATCCTGGAGAGATTTTGCATAATACGGGCATATACTGCAGTGCACAATCATATTCACTCTTTTCTCATGCACACGTGACATCTACGAAGATGTTCGTAATTATGAAACATTGCTTCAATCCTAGATGTCGCCGTAATAAAAAAACGATCTGCTGAATCTCACTCAATTCTGAAGCAGATCGTGCGATTACGAGAGCCTCACAATTACAATGGATCACAAAACATTTTTTCAACAATTGTCCATTTACCTGAAATTCAGACATTTAGTTGTTCACGTACAGTACTTCGCCACGAACCAACATATTGGACTGCATCACAATGAGTGCTGGTGAAAAGCCCAACTTTTTTCCCACAGCAGCAAAATCAATGTTGGGACGAATCCGCGAGGCATCACTTTGTACTGTATTTTACTTCGTAGCATCTCATTTCATGATGGCCAGATACGGGATTAAAATGTTTTCTTTTAATTTAAACTTTCTGATTCAAAACGTTGTTCGTGCTGAGGTTTCGATTCGCAAATTATACTGTATACAGTATATAGTGCCTACGCGTATAGGAGCACAGAACAACCTTCTCCCAAATAGCACCGTTCATATTTGTATCGAAATGAAGGAGCAAGCTCCGGGCTGAATTATCTCAGATTACATCACAATTGTGAGCTTCGCTGCGGAAAACTCGCAAATCCGCGGTTACATCAGCAAACGCGTTTTTCCTTTATGTCGGAAGGATGGAACCGTCGAGGATGCGAGCTGTCCCTTAGCTATCTTCGGAATAGTATAGTTAACCACCACTCCCAATATATTATGCATGTAGCAATGAGAATCCTCCCAATATATAGCTCATGCATTGGTAGAGGTACAAGGGAATTGTTTCTTGGGCCCCATAGGGTTCTCTTTCCATGCTATGTGTGTCTTCCGGGGTTCTCCACATCCTAATTCTACAAGGAATTTTTTTCAGGTCCTCCGAATATGGTTGTGAAGGGAGTGGAACTGATTTCCATGAAAACATCCCTTCAAAAAGTGTACATTATGTCCTACATGCTAAGCATTATAGATGTCGTTCCTGCTGTGCGCCACACATACTAAATTTCCCCGCAAGCACTGATGTTATGCTGTACATGCAAGTCATGATCAACTCACCCGAGGGTGAAATACGCCAAGCAACTCCCACCTGTTGTGGTTTTCTGGAACGATTTAAATCTTACGTCATTTACCGAAGGTAAATGAAATGCTGGACGAAAATTGCTAAAGAGATTGTATTCAACTATTTTCAGTCAAGAGGAATAAGATCATGAGTCGGGTGGCTGGAATACTGTAACGTCGTCGAACTAACCTCGTCAGCCTGGAATAATCTCGTCGCGGAAGATCGTCGTCGGGAATAACCTCGGATTTATGTGTTACCCAAGATGTTGGATTGGAGGAATTTTTGCTGTACCAGGTTGGTCCAGTTGTCAAGTGCGGGAAGACTTTTTTTTTACAAGTTTGTTCCATGATATGCTTGACGACAGTTATCCAGTGTTGGAATTACGACGTTATTCCACCATCCCCATGTGTCGTGATTTAATCTGGAAATTTTCACACTGACCGGTTTCTCTTCTTCTAGATAATATATAACCTAAACAAAGGAGATGAAATGAGAGACAATCATAGATTCACATGGTACAGTATATTGTTTCATTTTTCAGGCATATAACAATAGAGCTGATTCTTGTACAGTTGGGCCTCCATCATTGGACTCAGGGGGCAAAACAAATATTTTTATTTAGAAACAAGCGTTTTCGTGGAAAAGATTCTGGATGAATTACAGTACAGTAAATCGGTAAATTTTGCTTTCATTCAGTTTCATTTTATTACTGCTCCGTTTCCTTGGTCCCCAGAACAATAATTGGAAGGTCTCAAAAAGTCCGAGTTAAGGGGAAAGGCATTCAAGTCACAGAGAGCTACATTCCACCATTTTTGTTGAATTCTGGACAGGGACAAAAATATCAACAGATGGAGATTTTTTATCTCTTGGGGAGATTCAAGTTAAGGTCCAACTTAAATAGACGTCCTTTCATTCGAGTGATTGAAAGAGATCAGGTGGGCTCGAGGGAACTGTAGATAACCCAACAAAAATAATCGAATTGAATTATCGATTGAATTACTTGAAGATGACCAGATTCTTGTGGATTTCATGCTGGGACAATTAGGCAGGCCATGGGATGAAGAACAATGAAATTTGGGACCAGCATAATGAGAGACTATTTATTCAGAATGATGAAAAAAATCGTTTTTTTGAAGTTAATAGATAAGCTGCATCAAAATAAGCATGTGAAATACGAAAATCCAGATAAAATTTCAAAATCCAACCAACGGATCCAGTAAATCTCCTATTACCGACGTCCAATACATGAAGTAATCGCTGTTCTCTTTCACACAAATCCATCACAAAATAATTCCGAGCAAACAAGGTACAGTACGTGGACAAGAAGAAAAAAAACAACTGCAAACAGGCAGAGCGAATTTTTCATCATCCCCGTTGCTTTCACGGAAAAAGAAAATGCGAAATTTTCAAAAAACAAAAAAAAAACAGCACTATACAACTGGAAATTTTGTAAAAAATCACTAACCAGTACAGTATATTACACGAGGACGAAATCAAGACCCATCCCTTCTTTTTTTCCCAGCTGGATTGTTGCATAATTGGAGGAGATGGCGTTTTTGATTCGCGAGAAAACGTGACTTTTATACAACTCATGCTGGGGTTTTTACAGCAGAGAAAGTTCAAAACTCAATTTTCTTCAACGAGATGACAAAATCCAAACGACGTGCTTCTTCGAATTTTCCGGAGAGACAAGCGGTTTATTTACTCCCGTACGATTCAGCCGCACCTGCTTTCGCCAGCTGATCCGCATCTCGATTTTCGGCCATTGGAACCCATTTCTAAAAAAGTACGCATGAGATAGAAATCAGTGATGGATTTTTGCATCTTTTTATTCTGGCAGGAATACTCCGCTTCATTAAATGTCTAACCTATCATTTGTTTGACAGTATGCGGAGAACTCTGGATGGCAAAAAAAAAGCGTTGTTCCAATTTAAATCCAAAACACGCATCATCTTGGAGAAGTAGAAAAAAAAATCGATCTCTGGAGTCGTTGACTTTTTCAAAAATTTTAAGGGGAAATTTTTTGCCTATATATACGATTATCGCATTCACTTAGGAAAAATATACTCACGAAATCCACATCCATGTGCGAGAAAGATAAATCAATGGCTCGGATTTCATTTAGATTCTGGACACGTTTTCTCGTCATTACCCGCCAATTGTTGCGTTTCCACATTGGTATCCAAACAGTGACGCAATTCTTTGCGTACGTCGAATCGGCTCGAATGAGCAGCTTTTTCAAGCCTGCAACATCAGGACAAAATTAAGTAATGTTGAACAGAGAATGTCTTCATTTAATAATTTTACCGGCTTCCTTCGCAGCGATGATTGCATAGAGAATGGCAGTCAGTTCTGCACGGTCACTCGTGCCCGGAACGGGCAAGGGTTCCGAAATATTCCTGCAAAAAATAATGAACGAATAGAAATATTTCTGATGACACGATCTGTGGAGCCCTTCACTACATACTACTTTTCCACGTCTGAATCAATCACTGGTTGACTTTAAAACCCATTCAATCAAAAACTTTTTCAGCATAGAGCATTAATTATATACCCTGAAGTATTTATAAAACTAAGTTATGTCTCACCGGAACATAATTTTTGATATCGTCGAATAAAGGAATTCGAATTTCAGACTACTGTATTTCATTGCAAAAAATGCTACATAATTTGCACACCCTTATTCCCACGACACCCTTATAACGACATTATACTAGGGCAGCCGCCAAAAAATACTGAAATCATATTTGCTTCAGTGAATACCGTAATACTTCCTCCCAAATACGGCTTGAATTATCAATACGTCCTTGTTTCAATTTATCACCGGTTGAGCACGAACAGGCACGGTTTTCGGGAAATATTTCGTATCAGCTGTTGCACAAAAATTACAAGAATCTACATATGCAGTATTTACCTGAGTATCACGCGCACCTTTTTCTTGGAATTGAGAGGAAAAAATGGGTACGCGACATGGGCGGGTATGCATTAGAAAATAAGTTATACTGTAGTAGTTTCAGTGTGTATATTGCATTTGATTCTGATGGAACATCATGGACAAATTTCCACCACAATAACTTCCTTCCAGTGAAGAAAATATATTAAAAATTAGTACAATTCAGGATCAATTCGTGACAAAATTTCTGTACAACATTCTCATGATTGAAATACAGCAGTTTCAGTCAAAAAAAATGGGGTGCGCGTCTTTTCAAGAATATAATTCTGCAAAAACTCTAGACCCTGGTTAGCGTCTTACTCGAGGGCGTGTGGCATTCGAAATACGGTTATTACGTTATTTACGTAATAGCAAAAAGAGTAGCGCAAGGCTGAATCATAACCCAATCATCATTCATCAAACTTATCGAAGTTTCAAATCATTGTAAGTGAGGAAATGAGTTGAGAGAAAATACTCACGCAACGTGATCCTTTCCGAACCAGACTCCAACTCCGGAAGTTTTCAAGTCAAAGTTGCAGTATCCATCCGTGGAACAGATTGCATATCCTTCAGGGTTTATTTCGAAATCCGCAATCTTCGCCTTCCAAGTCTGTTGCAAGATTCTTAGAAGAATTTTCGGCTTTTCGAATGATGCCCAAGGAATGTAGCAAGCGAGAGACACTTCCTCATACACGACATTTTTCGTCTCCAATTTCTTGGAAGAAGGGTCCGACTCGCCTCGACGTTTCTGAATAAATATACAGTAGAACCGGTAAATAGGTCTGAGTGAAAATAGTCGTCTTTTTTTTTATACGGAATCCACGTTTCACTTGAAAACCCGTGCTCGAAAAGGTGAGAACAACTCGAAAGAGCATTTGTACAGCAGTTTTGTACTCGTAAGAAGAACGACATTTATTCTTCATCATTATATCTCAATGTAAAAATAATCTCAGAAGCCTTCAATCTAGCATTATAACATTATCAACGAGTGTTTTACAGCAATTATCAATCCCTTATTTAGTTAACATGACATAAAATGTCCCATACCTGAAACTGTCTCGAAACAGGATCAAGTTTCGAGACAGTACGGTAATCTGTCGATTTTTCCACACCATTTCATAAATACACGCTTTTTCGGGAATCACATAAAGGTTATAAATCATAGAGAAAGACTCACATCATCGTGTTCTTCCGTAACTGGGCGCATAATATAGAAACCCTGGAAGCAATTCGGTGATGGAGAGCCGTTGTTCGATCTTCCGGAGGAGGTTGATTGAACATCGACGGCATTCTGCACCTGTCAAATTTTTGAACTCCGTTAGAACAAAGAACACTATTCTCCATCATACAGTACTTTCTCTCAAAAGAAGACATCAAGCGGGACTCAGAAACATATTTTCAAAACAAAACGTTGTTCTACGAAGACTTGAAAAAATACGCACAAAAAAATTACTACCTTCACTGGCAATTATTTAGAGGGAGACGTAGAAACAAGATATCCTATCATGTATCTACAGTACTTGAAACAACACTACATACCACAGTGTAGAACGCCATGGCAACAGCAGAAAAAAGGTCCTGGTGAACGATTAAATCTTGCGAAGAACAACCTGAAAACCAAGTTTAAACCGGAAAATCTTAAAACTGACAATTCATGAACAGCAGAACCAAATTCCTAGGACTATTGGGATAATCTACACACAAAAAAGTCGGCCGCTTCTTCTTTCCATTTACTGAAATCTACAACACAAGCCATTCCTATCTTAATGGTGAGGCTCGAATTTCAATTTTGAGGAGAATAAAGACCCTTTGATTTTTCAAAGAAAATCGTGACACAACACACAGCACTGCGGCTCCGCAGGACTTGGCCCCCAACGAAATGGGACCCGTCCCTGGACGAAGAAGAAACGGAAGAACCGTACGATCGTTTATGTACTGTATTTCCATTCCTACCAGAGACGATCCGCAGAAAATTCTCCTGCTGAAGGACACGACGTTCACTTAATTTCCCACGAGCTAAGCAAAAGTAATTCAAATCTGCGGAAGGACCACCCCTCAACTTTGGCGGATTCCCGCGACCTAAGCCTAATGTCTTTTAAGAGGTACTGGTACCCGGTAAACGACGCAGCAGGTTGAAAATGACGCAAGAAGGGCTTAAGCCTTTGCAATCCTCCCTGGCGCCATTCTGAGGTTGCAGTCCACAGTCAGTCTTGCCAAAAATATTTCAGTAAAAATATCCACTCCAGGGGCCTCAAAAATCCCACGAATTTCCCAAAGCTTATACAGACAGGCTTTTCATTATAAACAGTACTCCCAAAATGATGTTTTGATGATTATTCAAAGGAAATTGAATTACATTTTATTCAGAATGCGGCATACGTCACCTCATTCAAATTACCTGAGATTTTGAGGAAGTGGAGTTTTCTGGAATACATGAGCAATTCAAATCCCATTTCAAATTCCTGAAAAGTATGTTGATTTTTTTTCTGGACATGTGGTTCATCACAACGTCACCAGTCTCACCAAATATTTGAAGCTCTGAATAGTATTGATGCACAGTATAAGATCATAAATTCCCACATGATTAAATGGCTTTTCATTTCTGTAACTTTGTGAATACATAGCAATGACATGGTTGAAAGAAAGATGGAAGTGCCTTACTTTCTTCCATTGTAAAATGAGGTCTTGCAACAACAAAAGTTTGCCATGAAAAATTTGATGGAACCTTTAAATTTTGTTTAAATTACTGGGTGCCTACACCATAAGTTAGACATGGACACAACACTTCTGATACAGTAGTTTAAACTTTCAGGGAATTTTTTTTTTATCTACTGCACATAAAAAATGGGTTCCATCAGATGCGGCCTTAGAGTTTGTGGAGACTGGGGCAGATATGGCAAGGCAGGGCCCTGTGAAAAATATACCTTGCCAATTTTTCAAACAGCACATGAAGAATACATAAATTATTCTTTAAATTGTATCTTGGTTGCAAGTTCAATTAAATTTCTTTGGGAATGTAAACAGATCATTTTGGGCTATTTTTCAATATTTTTTGGTTGGTATATCTCTTACCTTCTTGAGAAAGATCTACTCACTTTTGGCTGCTCAATCGGTTGGAGATTCAAATTTCTTAAATTAAAAACCATCACAGTATTGAAAATAGAATTACTGAAACAATAATGATAAATTCATTACAGAAACCATGTGTGACTAGACCAAAATCCATGAAGTTAGCATCTTGATAAGACCAAATTAGGCTTTTCAGCATTCATGATTATTTACATCCTGCTAATAGTTGAATTTGAAAAAAATGAACATGGGAGTTCTCCAGTCGCAAGTACAGTCAAACCCCATTAAACTGCCCCCTGATAAACTGCCACCCTCACCTCCCGCCAAATTTTTACCCCAAACAAATCTCCCCAATGTCAGCAGGATGGGGAAACCTTGATAAACCGCCATCCGCCAACAATTGTTGGGCAACAAATAGGCACCTGCCCTTGTTTTTTTACCCCTTTAAACCGCCAATGTTTGAATTTCCTGACCAAGGCTTTCCTCCTACTTTTTATTCAAGTTCTTGCAATATTAAATCTGGAATTTTCTTGAAACAAGCAAAATTTTTCTTTCTTTCAAACATACTCTCCAGAGTTTAGTTTTCTCCCCATAAATCCTTGAATATTATGGCCTGCAAGCATTCTTCAGCAACTCTTTTGACTCTCCAAATGGTATGTAGTTTTTTATCCAATTGTATTCAGATTGGCTGCAAAAAATAATTATCTTTTTGATTCCAGCCAGAGATTCCTTCAGCATTTAGAAAACTCCTGAAAGTTAGGCAGGGAATTTATTATTGAATGCCTTTTTTCATTTTACAAATAATTTTCTTTGAGTTAAAAATCTTCTCATGGAATACATATGAGTTTTTATCTTTCCAACCATCCAGGGACAAAAGAAAAATCTCAGTTACAATGTAAAAAAAAATGTTCCTCACATTTTCTGTGATCCCATGTTTTGTGTGCCAATTAATGACATATTCCAGACCCCCCCCCCTGATGAACCACCACCCTTGATAGACCGCCACCCTTGTTGAACCACCAAAATCTTGCTGCACAGACCTTGGCGGTTTAACGGGGTTTGACTGTATGTTCCCAATTTATGTATAAGTAAAAAAAAACCCTTTATTATTGTGATTTTCAAGTACTCACACAATGCCCACCTGAATAAATTTAGCTGATCTTTAAAAAAACATTAAAATAGTAATTTTTCTGAAACACCTGGTGCTTTACACCCCAATTTTATAACAAAAAGCAAGGCATTTGGTAATTTTAACAATGGTGGACTTCAGAGCCAAGAACTCTGGATTCAGGGAGAATTGCATGAATTATTTTTTAAAAAGTTTCCTATAGCAAATCACTGGTAACTCAAATTACAGGGACATTCAAAAATTCAACTTAGCGTAGTCCAACTGCAGTATTATTCAATCATTCCATCTAAAGGGAAGGTACAGCATGTTCACTTGTAAGGCATGAATAAATGTCCTCCGTTATTTAAAATGTGAAAGTATTTTTCCTGTGAATTCAAAATTTCAAATTAGTTGTGAAAGATTATCATCTGGGTTAATTTAATGCATAAAAGCAAGCCTGATAATCAAAAGCACCTTCAAAACTGATTGATTAAGGCGTTGTGACTGTTTTTGGTGGGTCAGGGAATACTCTTTTTTCCTGAGTTGAAGAGAAAGTCGCTTTCTTTGAGGATAAAGTCAAATGAGAATACGCAAAATATTTTAAAAAGTTTTTACAATTTTCAGATTTTAAAATTACTTCATTCCATGCAGAAAACTCTACAAAATGATACCAAACATGAAGGACTTCAAAACTCCTTCATGTTTAGGCAGTTTACACAATGTTGAACTAATTATACAGCAGCAAATTGGGCTCCATGATGAAATCCCGTCGGAGAAAAAATCCTGCGGCCTGCAAGGCCAAAAATCTGGCCAAAAATCCCGTAGGCTGGAAAATCTTGCATGGTCCAAAAATCCTGTAGGTACAAAAATCCCAATTGTACTACAAAATTGTATTATTGTATCTATGGGTATCTTTCATTATTGTATCTTTCAACTGTCTGGAAGGAATAAAAATCTGGTGGACTATGAAATTGTGGAAGTGCAAGGGTTTTAATTCCTTCCAAGGGGTTGGGAGGTCTATAGGGATTATCTTTCTCAATAGAATCTCACCTTCACTTCCTCATCTTTCTCAAAAGAAAAGTGAGGAAGCCTGGGAAAGATGTAGCCTTCATTTGGAGCCTTCATCCCTGCATTGTTTTGTATTTAAACTGTGTACTATTCCAATGATTTTCTTATCTCAACTTTCCATTCTGAAGTAATAAACTTGCATCAGTGTGGGTGGAAATCTTGTAGAGTTGAAAATTTGTCGACTTTCTATATTTATTTTTTATTTCTTTATTAAATATCATTTACTGTATATTGCGCTCCGGTAGGATTCGTCCTAGGGACTGGGTAGAAAAGGGCCTGGGGACAATCCGTCCTCGCGGGGGGAGGCGGGGGTACTGGACAACTGGCGGCGCTGGTCAGTCTGAGCGCAGACAAGGATGAGTCAGCATATGCTCCACACGAAAGATAAAAAAAGAAAAAAATCCGCCCAACAAGCCTAGGAAACAAATGGTTCGTTTCATATTTTCTGAAGCATCGAAGGACCTTAAGCAGGTTCTTTTTTCAGTTCCTCCATTTCTCACAAACAAAAAAATCAGCAAAATTTTTCAAAAGACATCACATGTTCAACACCTGAATTTTTTAAATCTGAAATGTTGGGATGCCATCGTCCATCCAAAACCACACAAAATTACAGCAGCCCCTTAAGTACGATTTTATCAATTTATCTGCAATAAGAGCCGTATATTGAATATTGAGATTGAAAATGAAATATCACTATGCATAACTGCATTTAGAAATTTAAATAATTTTGAATTGTTTAAATACCATCGGCCTTCTGTAGTTTTCTAACTATGTTTTTCAGGTATGAAAATTCTTTTTTCAGGATTTTTGTACCTTCGGGGTTTTTACGACCTTTCGAGATTTTTTCTCCCATGGGATTTTATCCTGCACCCAGCAAATTGTACACTCGTTTAAATAGCAGGCCATGACACATTGCCCAAACATTCGGCAGCAGAAGTAGGATAAATTCCTGCGGGAGAAAATATCCCACAGCCCAAAAATCTGGTACGAACAAACATTCCAAAAAGCTCAACAAACATTCCAAAAAGCTGGTACCTGGTAGGAACAGATATTCGCAAGAATCTTGCAGGAAAATGAATCTCAAAGCACAAATTTTTGTGTGAGAAGAATCCCCTTTGAAAAAAATGCAATGTACAGTAGAGTGGTGATAGATAACAATTAAACGCATTTTTAATGCTCAGCAAGTTTTGAACCTTACAAGTTTTTGTCAATGTCCATAAAGTTTTGGGTCTACCTGATTTTCAGCCTTGAAAATTGGGTAGACCTAAAAATTCATGGACATTAAAAAATTCAGACTAGGTCAAACAATAAAAAGATAGGAAGTCAGTAATCCAGTGAGGCTTAAAATCGGGTAGACCTAAAAATCTACCTTTGTCGTTCTCTTGAGAGACTTAGACTATGACAACGGCTTTGCTTCCGGAAATACCTCCTGGAAACAGAGGGGTCTGCACGAAATCACCAACGGTCTATTCACTATTGAATTGGGGGCTATAAAATTGCTTACACTTCCTACATCAGCAGCTACAGGGGATTCAAAAACAACGTCCCCTCCCCCGACTGCTTCCGGGAAACAGTAGCAATGAGTTAATAGGGGTTTATGACTTCCAGTCTTCTGTTTCAGAAAGAACTACGAGAGCATAAAAATGAAGATCTCCAGGAACGGTACTCCGGTTTGAAAATTCCACACAGTAAAAATTTCAAAAATCCTTGAATTCTGGATTTTCTGACGTTCGTCACTTGGAACTTCGAGGTTTGTGTATAAAATTAAGTAGCGCTCTTATAATTCCTGATGGGAACTTTTATCCTTCTTCAATTACGGATCATCCATCAGGGATGCAGTTTTCAGGAATAATGGGAATTTTGAATCGTAGGGACACATTTAACCCCGGATGATCATTTGTCAATCACTCACACTTTGAAAACTTCACACCCCTAATGTAACAAAAAAGTAGGCCTAGCTAGAATAAGAGGACTGGGATTCTCAATCCAATAATTTCGGGCCGTTCGCATTTTTTGCCATTATCACCCATTAATTGTCAATCAATACTTCATCAACATCCCTACGAAGGCGGAACGAACGATCTAGATTTCCATTCTACCCATTGTAAATCTTTCCACGTAAGTGCTGACAGCGATTGCCAGAAAAGGGTCCCAGGCTTAACGGCGGGGAAACATCTTGACGTAACCTCTGCCCGTCCGGCGCGCGAAGGAAGCTTGTCCGCGGAAGAGCGGCAACTTACATCCTCTCGAAAATTTATTTTTCCAACGTTTAACTCTCCGAACTATTTTCATGTTTCACGTGACATCCGACTCTACGAAAGGGTTTACACAAAAGTCTGCTCATTAAACTCAATCGGTAAATTACTATCAGCTAAATTCAAAATCGAAGAGAATCGTCATGCTGTTATACCTATCGTGATCTCGCACTTGATGAACAAAATGACCCATTTAAACCTCAATCATCAATATAAATCAATAGGCGAAAAAAATCGTTAGGAAAAGCATCAACAAACCTGCGGACAGCTCGACAGCGTTCGAAGAAAACTTCTGCGCAACGAGAATAACTAACGACAAATCGATTTGAAGTCGCAGACCAAGAATCGACACCTTACACAGAAGTGTTGACTATAGTTCTTCACTTGCTAGAGAGCACACGCGTTTTTAAACCGTATTGGAAAACTTCAGAGGCGACAAATTCAGCACATCGACTGACACATGCCGCACGCACGCTCACTAAAGGCATTTAGCTCCTGATGAACCTCAGCCATCTTTACGCGTCTTCTACTCCACGTTCCTTGCCTCTCATTGGTCGAGACATCTAGAGTCGAAGATTCAATATCCTAAGCCCGCCCTCTGCCAGGGAACCAAGAGGGGGGGGGGGGAATTCAATCAACCAACTGGAAAATTGTGCACCCAAATTTTTTCTACTTGATTGGTTAAGGAACGAAATTTCTCATCTCCAGATTTAACTACAGCCTTAGATAGCCCTGTATCCTACCCTCTCATGGGGATCAAATTTTCGGAGTGAATCGTGTGTTCTTTACTGGGCTTCCAATATATTTTCCAATCTGATGATGTGGGCATGTATTATACAACATATAGGCAATATACATGAAGGCGTTAGCCTCTACTGTAATGTCTGCTGTGCAGTTGCATGCACTTTTCCATCTTAAATTCAAGATCAACACGAATGCAGAAATTAATGTACGGACGTTGTAAAGAGAAATCATCACTATAGCTGAAGTCAGATTTAATGTCGCGTTTCTATATAGGAGCTAAAAGCAACTGCGTTCGATTTCAGTTAGCTTGGCTTCAAATTTTGGGGAAAATTTATTCCAAATTCCAAGCAAAACTGAAAAAATATCTTGAAGGTCAAAAATTGAAAATTAATTTGCTCATAACAAAAATTAAAATGTAACCGCTATTCAATCTTACAGTACGGACTGTATTTTAATTGACTATAATATTTATAGATATATACTACTGTACAATAATAATTTCAACACTACTATACAGCACATCATGCAACTAAGTTACACGGAAAATTTTGAGAAACATTTATGCAACCCGCCAGTCTGAATTAAATTGAGAACTGGTGAACTGCAGAAGTTGAGGTTGGAATCCTCGAGAGATTTTGCATAATACGGGCATATACTGCAGTGCACAATCATATTCACTCTTTTCACATGCACACGTGACATCTACGAAGATGTTCGTAATTACCGTTGAAACATTGCTTAAATCCTAGATGTCGCCGTAATAAAAAAAACGATCTGCTGAATCTCACTGACTTCTGAAGCAGATCGTGCGATTACGAGAGCCTTACAATTAAAACGGATAACAAAACATATTCCTTCATTGTTCTTCAGTTATCTGAAATTCAGACTTTTAGTTGTTCACGTACAGTACTTCGCCACGAACCAACATATTATTGGACTGCATCACAATGAGTGCTGGTGAAAAGCCCAACTCTTTTCCCACAGCAGCAAAATCAATGTTGGGACGAATCCGCGAGGCATCACTTCGTACTGTATTTTACTTCGTAGCATCTCATTTCATGATGGCCAGATACGGGATTAAAATTTTTTCTTTTAATTTAAACTTTCTGATTCAAAAAGTTGTTCGTGCTGAGGTTTCGATTCGCAAATTATACTGTATATATAGTGCCTACGCGTAGGAGCACAGAACAACCTTCTCCTAAATAGCACCGTTCATATTTGTATCGAAATGAAGGAGCAAGCTCCGGGCTGAATTATCTCAGATTACATCACAATTGTGAGCTTCGCTGCGAAAAACTCGCAAATCCGCTGTTACTTCAGCAAACGCGTTTTTCCTTTATGTCGGAAGGATGGAACCGTCGAGGATGCGAGCTGTCCCTTGGCTATCTTCGGAATAGTATAGTTAACCACCACTCCCAATATATTATGCATGTAGCAATGAGAATCCTTCCAATATATAGCTCATGCATTGGTAGAGGTACAAGGGAATTGTTTCTTGGGCCCCATAGGGTTCTCTTTCCATGCTATGTGTGTCTTCCGGGGTTCTCCACATCCTAATTCTACAAGGAATTTTTTTCAGGTCCTCCGAATATGGTTGTGAAGGGAGTGGAACTGATTTCCATGAAAACATCCCTTCAAAAAGTGTACATTATGTCCTACATGCTAAGCATTATAGATGTCGTTCCTGCTGTGCGCCACACATACTAAATTTCCCCGCAAGCACTGATGTTATGCAGTACATGCAAGTCATGATCAACTTACCCGAGGGTGAAATACGCCAAGCAACTCCCACCTGTTGTGGTTTGCTGGAACGATTTAAATCTTACGTCATTTACCGAAGGTAAATGAAATGCTGGACGAAAAATTGCTAAAGAGATTGTATTCAACTATTTTCAGTCAAGAGGAATAAGATCATGAGTCGGCTGGCTGGAATACTGTAACGTCGTCGAACTAACCTCGTCAGCCTGGAATAATCTCGTCGCGGAAGATCGTCGTCGGGAATAACCTCGGATTTATGTGTTCCCCAAGATGTTGGACTGGAGGAATTTTTGCTGTACCAGGTTGGTCCAGTTGTCAAGTGCGGGAAGACTATTTTTTACAAGTTTGTTCCATGATATGCTTGACGACAGTAATCCAGTGTTGGGAATTACGACGTTATTCCATCATCCCCAAGTGTCGTGATTCAATCTGGAAATTTTGACACTGACGGGTTTCTCTTCTTCTAGATAATATTTAACCTAAACAAAGGAGATGAAATGAGAGACAATCATAGATTCAGATTGTACAGTATATTGTTTCATTTTTCAGTCATATAACAATAGAGCTGATTCTTGTACAGTTGGGCCTCCATCATTGGACTCAGGGGGCAAAACAAATATTTTTATTTAGAAACAAGCGTTTTCGTGGAAAAGATTCTGGATGAATTACAGTACAGTTAGGGGAAAGGCATTCAAGTCACAGAGAGCTACATTCCACCATTTTTGTTGAATTCTGGACAGGGACAAAAATATCAACAGATGGAGATTTTTTATCTCTTGGGGAGATTCAAGTTAAGGTCCAACTTTAATAGACGTCCTTTCATTCGAGTGATTGAAAGAGATCAGGTGGGCTCGAGGAAACTGTAGATAACCCAACAAAAATAATCGAATTGAATTATCGATTAAAATAACTTTTACTTGAAGATTACCAGATTCTTGTGGATTTCATGCTGGGACAATTAGGCAGGCCATGGGATGAAGAAAAATGAAATTTGGGACCAGCATAATAAGAGACTATTTATTCAGAATGATAAAAAATCGTTTTTTTGAAGTTATTAGATACGCTGCATCAAAATAAGCATGTGAAATACGAAAATCCAGATAAAATTTCAAAATCCAATCAACGGATCCAGTAAATCTCCTATTACCGACGTCCAATACATGAAGTAATCGCTGTTCTCTTTCACACAAATCCATCACAAAATAATTCCGAGCAAAAAAGGTACAGTACGTGGACAAGAAGAAAAAAAACAGCTGCAAACAGGCAGAGCGAATTTTTCATCATCCCCGTTGCCTTCACGGGAAAAGAAAATGCGAAATTTTCACCAAAAAAAAAAAACAGCACTATACAACTGGAAATTTTGTACAAAATCACTAACCAGTACAGTATATTACACGAGAACGAAATCAAGACCCATCCCTTCTTTTTTTTCCCAGCTGGATTGTTGCATAATTCGAGGAGATGGCGTTTTTGATTCGCGAGAAAACGTGACTTTTATACAACTCATGCTCGGGTTTTTACAGCAGAGAAAGTTCAAAACTCAATTTTCTTCAACGAGATGACAAAATCCAAACGACGTGCTTCTTCGAATTTTCCGGAGAGACAAGCGGTCTATTTACTCCCGTACGATTCAGCCGCACCTGCTTTCGCCAGCTGATCCGCATCTCGATTTTCGGCCATTGGAACCCATTTCTAAAAAAGTACGCATGAGATAGAAATCAGTGATGGATTTTTTCATCTTTTTATTCCGGCAGGAATACTCCGCTTCATTAAATGTCTAACCTATCATTTGTTTGACAGTATGCGGAGAACTCTGAATGGCAAAAAAAAAGCGTTGTTCCAATTTAAATCCAAAACACGCATCATCTTGGAGAAGTAGAAAAAAAATCGATCTCTAGAGTCGTTGACTTTTTCAAAAATTTTAAGGGGCAATTTTTTGCCTCTAGATACGATTATCGCATTCACTTGGGAAAAATATACTCACGAAATCCACATCCATGTGCGAGAAAGATCTATCAATGGCTCGGATTTCATTTAGATTCTGGACACGTTTTCTCGTCATTACCCGCCAATTGTTGCGTTTCCACATTGGTATCCAAACAGTGACGCAATTCTTTGCGTACGTCGAATCGGCTCGAATCAGCAGCTTTTTCAAGCCTGCAACATCAGGAACAAATTAAGTAATGTTGAACAGAGAATGTCTTCATTTAATAATTTTACCGGCTTCTTTCGCAGCGATGATTGCATACAGAATGGCAGTCAGTTCTGCACGGTCACTCGTGCCCGGAACGGGCAAGGGTTCCGAAATATTCCTGCAAAAAATAATGAACGAATAGAAATATTTCTGATGACACGATCTGTGGAGCCCTTCACTAC